AGTTGTAACTGCTGGGGTTTAATCCCATGGCCATTAGGAAAACTAAGTCTCATGTCTTACTGTGGAACAGCAAGGACTCTAGAGGCCATTACCTGGGAATGTGGAGAGCTCTTTGGAAGAAACAGTGTACTCAGTGTATTCAAGCACTTCCAGTTTCAACTGAAAGGGGCCCATAACATTATTATTTTTTCTTCTCAAAGAAACCACCCATTTAACTAAAAGGAAACCCATGTTACACTCAATTCCAAGCACCTGAGAATAATCCAACAGCTACTCCTGAAACGATACTGAATCATCTTAAATTAGATCTAATGTAGAATACAATACAGAACTTTAACAACATACAAAAAGAGATATTCTGAGTTGCGTTCATTACATCATTCTTCCCCTATCATCTGGGACTAGACTTAAACTTTCCTTTAATACTTTATTTCAATCTCAACTATATTAGATTAAGAAAAATTCTGGCTGGGCACATGCCTGTAATCCCAGCACTTTGGGAGGCCAAGGCAGGCAGATCACGAGGTCAAGAGCTCAAGACCATCATGGCCAGCATGGTGAAACCACATCTCTACCAAAAATACAAAAATTAGCTGGGTGTGGTGGTGCGTACCTGTTGTCCCAGCTACTTGGGAGGCTGAGGCAAGAGAACCACTTGAACCTGGCGGGTGGAGTTGTAGGAAGCCGAGATTCTGCCACTACACTCCAGCCTGGCGACAGAGCAAGACTCCGTCTCAAAAAAAAAAAAAAAAAAAAAAAAAATTATACTGTTCATGGAAAGCTGAGAAAGGGTGAAAAATTTACATGGTGCTTATGCTGGTGGGATTGTATAATGGTGTAGTCACTCTGGAAAACAATTTGGCAGTTCCTCAAAAAATTAAACACAGAGTTACCTATACCACCGAGCAATTTCACTCCTAGCTATACAAGCAAGAGAAAGGAAAACATGCCCACACAAAAACTTGCATGCAAATATTTATAGCAGCATTATTTGCAATAGGTAAAAGGTAGAAACAACCCAAATGTCCATCAACTGATGAGTGGATAAACACAATGTCGTATATCCATACAAAGGAATATTACTATTACTACTATTATTATTATTATTATTATTATTATTTTGAGATGGAGTTTCGCTCTTGTTACCCAGGCAGGAGTGCAATGGCGTGATCTCGGCTCACCGAAACCTCCGCCTCCTGGGTTCAGGCAATTCTCCTGCCTCAGCCTCCTGAGTAGCTGGGATTACAGGCACGAGCCACCATGCCCAGCTAATTTTTTGTATTTTTAGTAGAGACGGGGTTTCACCATGTTGACCAGGATGGTCTCGATCTCTTGACCTCATGATCCACCGCCTTGGCCTCCCAAAGTGCTGGGATTGCAGGCTTGAGCCACCGCGCCCAGCCAAAGGAATATTATTTAGCCACAAAAACGAATCAAGTATTCTTTGAGATAGCATATGGATGACCTTGAAAACACTATACTGAGTTAAAGAAGCCAGACACAAAATACAACATATTGCTTGATTCATTTACATGAAATGTCCAGAATAAATGGCAAATGCATAGAGCCAGAAAGTAGATTAGTGATTGCTTAGGGCAGGTGAAGGGCAGAATGGTGAGTGCTAATGGATATAGAATTTCTTTGGTGGTGGGGGGGGGGTGACCAAAACGTTCTAAAATTATGGTAAATAGTAGCGATAGATGCACCATTCTGTGGATATACTAAAATTACTGAGTTGTACAAGTTGTATACTTTAAAAGGGTGAATTTATAGTGTGTGAATTATATATATCCATAAAGCTTTATTTAAAAATAAAAGAAAACATAAGGGGGATTAGTTCTTTCAAGATATCTAGTTCTTCAACACCCAACTGCCTTATTACCAACAGTCTATGTTCACAGCCGTGCAGCAGCTGAGAGGTGGTCAGTCTTATTCCCCATTCCCTGCTTTTCCAGAATAGTTTTAGATGGTCAGATGAATCTATCTCCAATCAAAATGTATTTTTCTGCTCGTGCAAATAACATTCAACTGTTGGTTTCTAATGTATTGGTGCCATCAGTTTTAACATTTGTATAACATGACATAGGGCATATTCATTTATACAGTTTAGCAGTACATTTTTTAGGTCACTTTTCTAAAAGTCAGGTTTATTGAGGTATAAATCATATTCAGCCAAATCCATCTTTGAGTTACATGAGTTTGGGTGGATATTTATAGTAACCACCACCACACTTGAGATGTAGACTATTTCCATGACTCTAAAATGTCTCTTCACATCCTTTGTAGTCAACTTCCCCTCCCCACCTCCAGCCCTTGCCATCCCCTGATCTCATCTCTGCCCTTAGGGCACTTTTCATTTCCTGTTCTGTGTTCTCATGGTTCATCCTGAGATGAATCTCTACCAGCTGGGATCCTGGTTTGTATCCCTACAGTGCCCAGTGGGGTACCTGGTACCTAAAATGTGCTCAGTAAATGGGTGCTGAATAAATGAATGGATATTTTGTTTTTCAGATTCTATCAAATCATATTGGAGAATTTGTTTTCTGATTTCCAGGATGTGCCCTTTGAAAGGGGCTATTTATAGTGGGAAGGCCTTCTTGTAGAGTCTTACATAACCTTTCAAATAATGGGTCACAGTGGTTTCCAGCTTCAGAGATTTTGCTGAGCATTTCAAATGTATCTTCAGACTTGGGGCTTACAACTTTGTCTGACTAGCAAGTAGAAGGAAATATCCTCTCTCAACTTGAGCAAGTAGATGGAAATAGACTCTGGGACCATATGGAGCTGTTTGCTCCTCCTGCCTCTGCTCCCATCTTTGATCCCTCCATCTCCACATTACATGGCCCCAGAGTCACATCCAGAGCTTCTCTGAACAGGTTCTGTGAGATTCCAGACCAAGTTTATGAAGAACTCTAGGGGCAGAATCAACAACTGCTTGAAGCCTTCTCATCACGCAGGGTGTGGCTCTGTGAAAACCCACCTGCAGCTGGCTCATCAGTCAGGCTTGGATCCCATTGTTCCTTCTTGAGCGAATTCCTCTTCTATCTTGATGTATGTGAATCAGAAACTAAACATTCCAGCCAGATGTGGTGACACGCACCTGTAATCCCAGCACTTTGGGAGGCTAAGTGGGAGAATTGCTTGAGGCCAGTAGTTTGATAGCATCCTGGGCAACATAGTGAGATCCCATCTCTACACACACACACACACACACACACACACAAGCCAGGCATGGTGATACATGCTTGTCATCCCACCTACTTGGAAGGCTGAGGTGGAAGGACCGCTCGAGCCCGGGAGTTCAAGTGAGTTCAAGTACAGTGAGCTATGATTGCACTACTGCACTTCAGCCTCAGTGACAGGGTAAGACCCTGACTCCAAAAAAAGAAAGAAAGAAGAAAAGCTGCCGGGCGCGGTGGCTCACACCTGTAATCCCAGCACTTTGGGAGGCCGAGGCGGGTAGATCACGAGGTCAAGAGATCGAGACCATCCTGGTCAACATGGTGAAACCCCGTCTCTACTAAAAATACAAAAAAAATAGCTGGGCATGGTGGCGCGTGCCTGTAACCCCAGCTACTCAGGAGGCTGAGGCAGGAGAATTGCCTGAGCCCAGGAGGCGGAGGTTGCGGTGAGCCGAGATCGCGCCATTGCACTCCAGCCTGGGTAACAAGAGCGAAACTCCGTCTCAAAAAAAAAAAAAAAAAAAAAGAAAGAAGAAAAGAAAGAAAGAAGGAAGGAAAGAAAGAAAGAAAAAGAAGGAAAGGAAGGAAGGAAACAAACATGCCAGAGCAAGTATAATAGTAGTGAACAAAATTCCCCTTTGCCCTGACAGTTCTATGAAATGGACTAGTCCTCAGAGAAAACTGCCCTTTCTTGAAAAGTGTGGGTACGTTCTCCCAGACCGTCCTACTATATTTAAGCAGATGGCTCCCCACGCCCTTTCTGGTGGTGACAGCCCCCTGCTGTGCCCTCCGAACACAGATACTACCAAAAACCCATTTCCCCTTTAAGATGTTGCACCTTGCCTCTAAGATGAAGTCTTGATGCTGGCATCCTAAGGCATCCAAATAAAATCTCATTCCCACCAGACGCGGGACTGATGCCTGTACTTTGGGAGGCAGAGGTGGGCGGATCACCTGAGGTCGGGAGTTATAAACCAGCCTAACCAACGTAGAGAAACCCCGTCTCTACTAAAAATACAAAATTAGCTGGTCATGGTGGTGCATGTCTGAAATCCCAGCTATTCGGGAGGCTGAGGCAGGAGAATCACTTGAACCCGGGAGGCGGAGGGTGCAGTGAGCCGGAATGGCGCCATTGCACTCCAGCCTGGGCGACAAGAGCAAAACTCCGTCTCGAAAACAAAACAAAACAAAAACCTTCATTCCTTTTTTTCCTCCTTTGTCCCCACACGTGCAGCTATGGTAGGCCCATAGTTCCTGCTCCTAGGAGAGAGCTACGCAATGTAACCCTGCAGATGAAACCTGTACCAAGGTCAAAGGTTTCGCGGTGTGAGCTCCTTGGTACAATGATGAGGTTCTGTTACACGCTAAATAAACAAAATACCAAAGAGGTCTTCATTTTTTGCTACATGGAGTAATTATTAGTTAATCAAAGGGAGCCAAAGAAATTCTTTCTATAGTAAGGGTGACAGGGTGGGGAGTGTAGGGGGCGTATTGAGGGTGGGTGGGGAAGTGGAGATAGGGAAGCTCCAGAAAAAGAAAAAAATAGGGTCTAAGTAGAGGAAACTTACATTCCTCATGAAAATCAAAAGCCGTGGCTGTCAAACTTTTGTGTTAGTAGTTACCACTGTGAAAACATATTTTACTGCATTGTGCGCGCCTCACGCCCGCGCGCACACAGGTGTATAATGAAAATCAATTTAAAATAAAATGTTGCATAGCTAGCTATAAGCGCAGGACGTGTGTGTGTGTGTGTGTGTGGCCGCGAACAGCCGGATCCGGGCGGAGCGCACACTCAGGCCGCGTCTCGCCTGCCGCACCAGCCTGCCTGACTGCGCGGAGGAGGAGGGCGGGCGCGGTGCCACCGGGGCGGGAAGGTCGCTGGCGAGAGCTCCGGGCTGCAGCTCCCGCGGCGGTGGCGGCGGCTCGGGACACGGCGCGGGATGCACGCGCAGGACTGTCAGGCGGCCCCGACGCCCGAGCCGCCCGGGCCCCCTGCCCGCGACTGCGTGGCCGCCTGGTGGGACATGGTCGAGCGCAACCTGCGGTGAGTTAGCGCCAGGTCCACCCGTGGCAGGGCCCCGAAGGCTCGGGCTGCGAGGGGATGGGGCACCGGGAGAGGGCGCGGCCGAGGCGGTAACCAGCTATGCCGACCAGAGCCGCAGGAGGACCCACAGGTGACTCCCGGGGACTTTGGCGGCCCGCTGCGAACTCTAGGTCTCTGGTTGTCTTTGGTATCCTCAGCCTCAATCCCAACCTGGACCAGCGAGACCCTTGAGACTCTCGGATTTGGTATTTCAGGAAGTTATAACTTTAAGGGGCGTCCGAAATACAGATGCCAGAGAGATGGTTGGATTTCTATACCAATCTCTATTATCTGACCATTTTGCTAGCACACAGGATGGATCTGAATGACACTAGTAATAGTGACAATGGTAATATATGTTGCAATCTTCAATGGCGTCCTCTTAGGTCAACAGCCTATCTATGTAGGTGGAAAAGGATCAGAAAATCCCTGCCTAGCTCCCTGAGTGTGAACTCCCTGGCATGCATTTAAAGAACACACCTCCACTATGCTAAAGATGTGTATAGTATGTTGAAACCATAACTTGGCATTACCTGTGCCAAGTTCTTACATTGTTTAAATCTGAAATATCTGTGTATCAGTGGGTGTTTTTGGTTTTTCTTCCTCCCATGAATCAGTTTAAATAGTAACCTTAAATTACCTGAATGCACCAGCAACATGTTGGTAGTCTTGTTTGCCCTGAAGCCAGGTATTGGTTGGAGATCCTGGACCCAAGACAAACGGGTATTTCATTTAGTTTTGTTGGTGTGGAAGGATATTGGTGTTTTTGTTTCCTCTTTCTATTCCTTTTGTTTAATTTGTGTTAATTATAAAATATCCAAAAATTGGGTTGGGTACAGGTGCTCATGCCAGTAATCCCAGCACTTTGGGAGGCCAAGGCAGATGGATCAGAAAGTCAGGAGATGGAGACTGTCCCTGCTAACATGGTAAAACTCCGTCTCTACTAAAAGTACAAAATATTAGTGGGGCATGGTAGCACATGCCTGTAGTCCCAGTTGCTTGGGAGGCTGAGGTAGGAGAAGCACTTGAGCCCAGGAGGCAGAGGTTGCAGTGAGCCAAGATGGCGCTGCCGCACTCAAACTTGGGTGACAGTGAAAGACTCCATTTTAAAAAAAAATTCAAAAATCACATCTAGACACAGGAGACCTCACTCTGGAGGGCCCAGAGTGATGTGACAAACAGGGATCTTTCTTCCTTCCTTCCTCTTTCTCTTTCTTTCTTTTTCTTTCTTTCAACAGGGTCTCACTCTGTTGCCCAGGCTGGAGTGCAGTGGCACAATCTCGGTTCATTCCCAGGGCTCAAGCAATCCTCCCACCTCAGTCCTAATAGCTGGGACTACAGGCACCTGCCAAAACACTGAGCTAATTTCTGAATTTTGTGGAGATACAAATTTTCACTACACTGCCCAGGCTGGTCTCAAACTCCTGGAGCTCACAGGTTCCACCTGCCTTGGCATCCCGAAGTGTTGGGGTTACAGGTGTGAGCCACTGCACCTGGCCTCTTTTCTCTTCCTTGATGCAGACAGCAGAGGGCTGGCAGCTCTGTAGGGGCTCAGTCATTGCCTTCCAGCTCTGTGTTGGATCTGAACACCCGGCAGAATGTCCTGATGGCACTTGTCAAGCTGCACATCAACAGGACTTCTCTCCCAGATGTGGTGATTCTGGCAACGTTGCCATCTAATGCCTCTCACTTTCATGATCTCTGTGGAATCGATGGCTGATTATTTAACATTTATTTGACAGTAAAGGGCATTTATTAGGCAGAGAATTGAAGTTTCACTTCACTTGTAGAGAACAACCCACTTTGTTGATAATGGAGTGGGAGATGGGGAGTTGGGGACCATCTATTATTACTTGCATTACTAATTAGTGGAAAAAGTCTCAAGAGACACTTCCTGAAAGAATAAAATACTAGTGCATGTCTTCATCTGAGCAGATTATTGGTCTAATGTAAGATGTGCTGAGGCTGAGGCCCAGACCCACTTCCACCATCCCAAGTCCTCTTTGATTCTTGGAGCCGGGCTCATTCAGATGGAGGGCTTGCCATGCCCCTGGCCCTGATTATGGTTCTGGAACTGGTGGGATGTGTTGTGAGACCCAAGAAGAACATTTCATCATATGATTGTTTTCAGTGGCTATTTTTTAATGCCTTGGGGATCTAGTTATTTATTTTACAATTTTAAGAAATCAAATCCAGTTGCTGCTTAAGGTGTATGGGCCCAGGAGAGTAAGTCGCCACCTTACTACTGGTTTTCTTTAAATTAGAAAAATGAAAAGCATACTCCAGAAGGAAGTTGGGGGAAACCAAAGCTTTATTTTCCTCCTCATTTCCCTTCATTTCATCCCAAGTCATTATGATCCTAGATAGTGCTCAGAAAATGTCCATGAGTAGGCTGGTAAATACGTTTGTCCTTCCTCCAGCGCTGGTTCACTATTCTAGTCTTGGCCATACGGCAGTAAATAAAACGGACAAAAGTCCTTGCTCTGTGGAGCACGCATGGATTCATTTGGAGTAGTACGTAAAAAAAGAAAGCAAGCCCTTCCTCTTTTTCCCAAAGCTACCAATAAATGTTGCTTCCTTCTCCCTTTCAAAAGAAATGCACTTTCTTTCTATTTTCAAACTATGCATCAATACATATGTACTGAGCTCAGCCCTGGGCTAGACAGAATGAAATGTAAAGGAAGTGCCCTATGCCATGTTGTTCTTGTCTTCTGTGGCCCGACAGAGTTGGGAAGACAGGGCTTATAATGTGAAAGCCATCAGCGAACAATTCAAGGCCAGCGGAGGCCCCGTTATTATTTGTGGGAGAGGAGACAAGAGAGGAAAGGTCAACATGGAACGATCTCTCCAGAGAGACTATGGCAAAAAAGAGATACTTCTGTGGGTATGAAAGGTTGGGAGGGTGTCTCCTGGTCCTTGGTGACCAATCTATGTCAGCTGAATGAATTGGCACATAGGTTGAAGGTACATGCCTTAAAATTTGGAATAGTAAAGGTAGTTAGATTTGGGCTTCCTGAAGTTGGTTTGCAGAAACCTCTGAGCCTGAGTAATTTACCCTGTAGCAGCTCAGACTCCACCAGCTTTCCCCAGTAAGAATCATCCATTTACGTTCTGGGGCCCCCCCGTGGGACGCTGTGTGGTTACAGCTGCAGCTGATCAAAGGGCAAATGAAAGAACACCAAAGCACCAAGGTGGTTGTTTGATGTGGCTGTCCGTTAGCTCGGATTGGGTTGAAACTGCATCCTCCACTCAAATAAGATCTATTAGCCACTGGTGACTTTTGATCCCCTACTGATCTAGGGGAAGTCAAATTGACAACCCCCTAGTTAAAAGAAGCTGCTTTGCATTATTGATGCTCTGAGGATCTGGTCACTCTGTTCTCTGCCCGCAGTGTATCTCAGAGAAGTGCCTCGAGCTATTTGAGAGAAGGGTTCTGTATGAATTATTCCTTAAAAACAGACACACATTTCCCTCTACTGCCTCTGCTTCCCAAGCAGACCTTCAAAACATAACTTAGCGGGAGGCTACCCTGCCTACCTTCAAAAGATAGCTTAGCGGGAGACTAACAGGCAGGGTGGCGGTGAGTGCCAGGAGCTTAGGGGGAAGCCAGCAGGAGCCAGAGGCTGGAACGAAGCATAGTTCAGCCTTGTGTTCAGTTCTGTCCATTTGGGCTTGATCGATGGCTCAAAGTGGCTTCTCTGGGTTTTGATTTTTTATCTCTAAAATCAGAACAATAATGTTCTCTCCTTCCTGCTGCCTTCATGGCAGGGGTGGTGGGGTGCTATTTTAAAGTATTATGAAACATTTTCGTTTCTTTCTTGCTGATTTTATGAGTAGGCAATTGCCCGTGTATGATGTATTTGAAGAGCTAGCCATTAGTCTTAGCCCACATATCTTTTCCTCTTCTTGCAGAACTGCTGGAAATTCATCAGAAATTCATTATCGTCTCCCTTCATGCCTCTTCCAAACACACATAAGTGCTCTGATTTTTAAAGTCATTAACATTTTACGGGTTTGTTTTTTTTTTTTTAAAGAGGTCTTTCTTTGATGACTGTTATCAGAGGGCTCCTGAGAACACAGGAGCAGCAAGAAGGAAGGGAGAAAGGAGAGGACCCTGAGAGGGCTAAGATGTGGAAAGGGATCTTAAAGCAAGACTGTCTATGAGCAGAATTTTGCCAGAGGTCAGCCTGGTTCCTGGGGTTCATTTCTGCTCACCTGGATGTCACCAGGACTATGGGATCAGACAGACCAGGTTATGTGTGGCTCTGTCATTCATTGCCTTGTGACTTTGGAAAGAGTAGTTAACTTTCCAGTCTCATTTGCAAAGCAAAGGTAATGATTATCATCCAAAAATGCCTCCAGTCTAGCAGAGGAATCAGGCCAGGGGGAAACAATTTATCAAAAATGCTTTCTAGCCTCTCAAGCTTATCATTTGGCTACATTAAACAGTCTTAACAATGACCTCTCAAACATGGAAAGGGACTTAATTTAATGGATAATGTGGGCAAAAATGGGAATGTAGTGCTGTAGGGCCCCACAGGGTCGTGGGGTGTCCTTTATGTTGTGCTGAGGTGCAGGATCTGAGAAGTAAAGAGACGGGACACTGAAGAACTGGCGAAGGGCAGCTGGACTCGGGGGGCCACACAACCTGTGAGCGGAGATCAGCAAGAGTTCCAAATGCCCGGACCCATCTGTATTTATTAGGTACAAGCAGGGAGCAGGGTCATGAGTGAGGTCATTATCTATAGGCTTAGTAATAAGGCTTACATAATCATGTGAGTCACAAGCAAAGGGGCCACCTCATTATGTCACCTGGGCAGACAGGTGGGCTGTGCGCAGTAGGGGGCCGTGCCATGCACAGTAGAGGATTGTGTACATAAAAGGGGTCCACCCCCATTAGATCACTGAGGCAAGGAGGTGGTCTGTGTGCAGCAGGTGTCATGCGCAACACTTCCTATCTGGGGGCTGGAGACTTCAAAGGATTTCTAATAGAAGGATACTGTAAGCCAATGCAATGGGAGCTGACAGACTTGTGCTCTTCTCTTAAGATATTTATGGGAGGTTGATTTGAGCTAGCACAGAAGTGAGAAAAGACTGACAGGGTGTACAGCTGCCATGACTGGTCATGCCAGAGGGGTTCTTCTCCCTCGGTTATTTCCAGGATCTCGGGCCTGAGGCTTACTTTCCACAGGAACTGGATGCAAGGTACTACAACTTGAGGAGAGGATCTTGCTCCAAGCCTGCCATATAGCAGGGATGTCCCTTTCAGGCAGGGATGCCACTGCCTGGGTCTTCGATTCTTGTCCTAGTCTGGCTATTTCCCCATGCACTGCTTTGTTCTGTGACTGCTCTAGGCATTCCTCCTACTACAAGCTACTATATGGTTATATGGAAGGATTCTATAAATCAGCACTAAATGTGTCAGTACAGCTCCGACTACAATACCTATATGATTATATAGAAAGATTATATAGAACTAAGTATGCTAGATACATTAAGTATGACTATATAAGCTAGATATATGTAAGTAGTAAGTTATACTTCAGGTATTAATTCTATAAACTAATATATGACTATATATAAAGGATTATATAAAGGAAATAGCTGAGTAATAACACTATAAGACATTCTTCAGGCACTAATTGTGCCTGGGGTCTGGACAGCTCTTCCTCAGTGCCCATGGAGGGTGTTACCCATACTGGAAGCAGGAGATGATGACCTTGACCTCCTGCATCCCTATCTCTTTAAGACCCTCACAAGAGAGGCAGCTTGAGACAGAGGTGTCCTTAGTGACCCCTTATGGACAAACTGTCACTTGTGTGCTGACAGCTCCTGGTTGGGTGGTTTGTGTCACAGGGAACAGCAGCGTACGCAAGATGTGTGTGCGCCCGTCCCACTCCCTGAGCAGGCTGCAGCCCTGTGCCTCATGGGGCCCTCTCTTTGGGGATCTCATCTCAGAAGTGGGGTCTTATCACACTGGCTCATTTCTTCCAGAATAGGGAGGATCTAAGGATTATTCTCTCCCTGACTGAGACTAATGATAATAAAGCTAACACATATAGTGCAGAATTGTGATATAATTAAAAACTGAGGTGACTGTTAAACTGTCTGAATCCTGTTTACTGGTGACTTTGGGGTCCATCCTCAGCCTTCTATGGGGCTATAGTAAGGGACCAAACCTGGCTATGGTGCAAACATTGTCCCTTCTCCTGTCCCTGTCATGCCCTGACTTTTTCAGCTACTGGTTGGGGCCCTGCCTTATTGCTCTCCTTACCTGGTTTCCCCTTAGTGCCAGTCTTGACCTGCCCTGTAGATAATTCCACGTCATTGTGTAAAAGATTTTGCTTAAATGCCAAGTGACCTGGAATTCCCAGTGTCAGTCTCTGAAATTTGAGGCAGGTCACCTGAGATCAGGAGTTCGAGACCAACCTAGCCAGTATGGAGAAACCCTGTCTCTACTAAAAATACAAAAATGTGTGTGCCTGTAGTCCCATCTACTTGGGAGGCTGAGGCAAGGAGAACTGCTTGAACCCAGGAGGCAGAGGTTGCAATGAGCTGGGATTGCACCATAGCACTCCAGCCTGGGCAACAAGAGCAAAACTCCTTTTCAAAAAGAAAAAGAAGAAGAGAAAGAAAAAAAAGAAAAATACAAACCAAGACAAAAGGATTAATTTTGAAAACCTCATGTGTTTCCTAATATCTTGCAGATCTTTTCCACACTCCTGTTCAACGCTTGGAAGAAAAATTGCTGCTCTGTATCACAGCTTTACTAGTAAATCCTTAAAAGAACATATTTTCCCTCCTCTGATAGACATGCTAATTTATTTTAATTTTTGTAAGTATGGACCTTCCATAAATTTGCCTACATGATTTTTCCTAAATAAAGACCTCACTGCCCTTCAGGTTGGGATGTAATGAACAGACATGTCAGCTGTAAAATTGTGGCTAGACTAAAATGGTCTGAAACTTATTTAATACTGACTTTGAAGTCTAGCAGGAATCCTTGCAAACTGCTGGGAGTAAAGATATGCATGGGCTTGTGGGTGGGGCTTCAATTCCAGAGCTGACTGCAAATTAATTAGTTGTTAATATGGATACCTAACTGCTTACTGTATTCTCTGCCTTTCTTCTTATCTGCTTCCCTTAGAGATGGAGAGAGATGGAGAGAGATGGAGGGAGGGAGAGGGGGAGAGAGAGAGAGAGAGAGAGAGAGAGAGAGAGAGAGAGAGAGAGAGAGAGAGAGAATGGTACTGATGTAAGGAATCTATTTTTCCTGTTTTTTTTCCCCTCTACTGAAATATGTGTTAGTCAGTGTAACACAGTCCTTCTAGTTCTTGCCTGCTTGCCTCCTGGTGTGTGAAGTCTGGCTGTTTCTTGCCTTTTGGCTGATGATTAGGTTTCACTGAAGTAGCAGAATACTTTTCTCTTAGGCTTTTTTATCTTCTTAGGGGAATGGTCTCCTCTGCTTTTAGCTGGAGACAAGGATAGGGATTGATAGCAACAGTAGTTGCTCTATTATGAGCTACAACACTGATGCTATTTTAAAATCCAGCTTTAGGTTTTGGTTTTCTGCCCCTCTTCTGCAGGCTAGTCCTAGTTGATAAAATAAAATACTCTGCTAGGAGTTTAGTGTAGTAACTTGCGACTTAGAAGCCTGTTAACCTATGTAGGCTAATTCTTTTCTTTGATTGTGATTAAAAGGCAGGGGGTTTGATTTTTGGAGTTGATAATGATTTTTACTTTCCAGTCAAAGCCCCATTTCTTGTGGATTTAAAGAAACCAGAGTTAAAGATTCCTCACACAGTGAACTTCTACCTGACAGTTGAACCTGGGGTGACGCTAGGGATCTGGTGAGTGCATGGATGGGACACTGGGTTGCTTAATGGGGCAGGTTTTCCTGTTAGAAGGGTACAGAGGAGCAGTGCTTTGCTACCTGCCCATGGAGAGGCAGGTGCTCCTGGAGGTACCTGGAGGCTGTTTCATACAGCTTCCTCTTCTGTTGATTTGGTTGATTTTGCTTTGGAATACAGACTTTTAAATGTTGCCCTTAGCTTCTGATGTCACTTACCCCTTCTGCTGTATTCCATACCACCCTGCCTTCATGCCTTCAACTCCAGACACACTGCCCTCCCAGGACATGCTCTGTCCTCAGGCTTCCTTCTATTTCTCTGCTATCTGCTTTCTCTCTTCTAACTGCCTACTCATCTACTGAGTCTTACTTGAGTTGGTAGTTTTCAAGAACGCCTTTCCTTACTGCCCATTTTAGCTATGTGCTGTCATGGCCACCTGGGCTTGTTCCTTTTGACAATTATTACCACTGTCATGAAATAAATGTTTCTGTGGGCTAGGCACGGTGGCTCACGCCTGTAATTCCAACACTTTGGGAGGCCCAGTACGGGCAGATCACAAGGTCAGGAGTTTGAGACCAGCCTGACCAACGTGGTGAAACCCCATCTCTACTAAAAATGTAAAAATTAGCTGGGCATGGTCGTGGGCGCCTGTGGTCCTAGCTACTCGGCAGGCTGAGGCAGGATAATCACTTGAACCTGGGAGGCGGAGGTTGCAGTGAGCCAAAATTGTGCCACTGCACTTCAGTTTGCGCAATAGAGTGAGACTCTGTCTCAAAAATAGAAAAAAAAAAAAGGGGTGGGGATTGCCTCTGTGCATGGGGACAGGGGGTAGGACAGTAGTTGCTCTCATTATAAGACACTTTGTGGTGTTAGATTTTTATTTTTACCATGTGCATATATTACTCAGATAAAAAATTAAAATATATGTATATATATCATAAGGAGAGTTTCAGCCTTTGGCAGGATGGAGAATTGCTCTCTCTACATTTGTTTAAACCTCCCTTGCTCTTCAGGCACACAGTCCCCAGCTGCCGGGGAGAAGATGCCAAGGGGAAGGACCGTCGCTGGTATGAAGCAGCCCTTCACGATGGGAACCCAATTATTGTTTATCTTCATGGCAGTGCAGAACACAGGTCAGTGGCTCTGCTTACATTTTTTTTTTCTTTTAAGAGATTGAGAGCATTTCAGCCCCATGGGGAATGAAGAAGGACAGAGCTCTGTTTTTAACTCTGTAGGCATGCCTTCACATATTTCTTTTCCTTTGTTGAAATCTGAGGGTGTTCTGGCAATAAGCGTCACTTAAAAAGACTATTCTGTATTTAGAATAATGTGGATCCCTAACTGAGAAGGAGAAAAGAACAACTCTTCCAAAACTTGGATGTTGATTTCAAAGAAAGGGATGATTCCTTTGCTCCCTAAGAGTGTCTGCAATGATGGGTTGAACCCAAGAATGACAGGAAAGGGAATAGGTATGCATTATGGGGAAGGAAGAGCCATTTCCACATCAGTGACTTTTCAGAACACTGCAGCGGAGAGTCCCTTGTTCAGCTTTAATCCTACTAACCAAAAATATGACTCCCTACAGAGGTCACATAGAATTCTGATCTCTGTACTGTGGACCATCTGACTAATTCTAATCTAGAATATTTAGGCCTCAGTCCATTCTCTGCAGTTCCAATCTCGCTTTGCAACAAAGAACGTCTCCCAGGAGCCTGGCTCCCCTTTGATGTGCTGTCAGAGCCTTTCTGGGCCCGTATAATTATATTGGGTGATGATCATCAGCTGTGACTGTGCCCCTTCTGCCTGGGGCAGGGGTGATGTGCCTGGGAAACCCACAGATCTCCTCCATCTTGGGAGGAGCACCTGGACTCCCTTCCTCCCTGTCTTTTTCTGGCAGGTGATGGCTTTCTCAAGACTTGCCTTTGCTCAAGGGGCTCTCTTGACGTGTCCATTTTAGAGCCACATTTACTGCAATTTCCTGTGAAACCCAGCATTTTCAACACAGTTTAACTTCGTATTGATTGTGTAAACTTGGGCATGATGTTACGATATACTTATTTAAAGGACCATGTGGACCACACAGGGTGTCTGTCTTTCTGTGTAAATCTGCAAGTAGCTCAATGATCCCAGATTTCTTGGCTCTGGGGTGAGATACAGCCTACTTTTGCTCTCAGTCCAGAAGGGTCAGCTTTCTATCAGCAGTCCAGAGCTGCAAGTAATGAGTACCAGACAGTACTCTCCTCAAACGGGAGATTACAGGGAACCTGTGGAGGCAGCAAAAACAGTGGCTCTAGACTTGAGATCCATGGACGCCTCAGAGGGCCCATGAACTCCTCTCCACAATTGTACATAAAATTTGAAGTATGGATACATTTTTTTTTTCCTTTGGAAATGGGACCATAGCCTTAACTAGATTGTTCAGCTGACTATATGTCAAAATGCTCCATGACATATAAGTTTAAGAAACTTGGCTCTAAGACAAAATTCAAATAAATGGCTTTTAAGAGTTCTCTGCCTTTTGATGAATAGTTTCCAGGGCTTGAGGGGTGAGGGAGGAAAGAATAGGCAGAGCACAGAGGATTTCTGGGGTGGTAGAAATCTTCTGGATGATACTACAATGGTGAATACATGTCGTTTTACATCTGTCAAAACCCATATAATATACAACACCAAGAGTGAACCCTAATGTAAAACAGGCAATTTGGATGTATCCCTGTAGGTTAATATTATAACAAATGTATCATTGTGGTGCTTGGGACTTTGATAGAGAGAGAAGGTTGTGTGTGAGGACAGGGGTTATGTGGGAACTCTGTATTTTGTGCTCAGTTTTGCTGTGAACCTAAAACTCCTTTTAAAAAATAAATTTAATTAATTTCTAAAAAAAAAAAAAAGGAAACATTAAAAAGACCATCATGCTTCTTCCTGAAAATACAGGTCCAATCTTATTCCAACAAATATTACAGCAGAAGTCTCAGTCACAATGAAGACTACAACTACTAACTTCTTAATCACAAACTTAAAATAACATCTACAATAAAATTAAATTTAAAAATTCTGGAAAGGACCTTGTATTTCATCATAATAAAATCGAATTTGTGGCTGCATTAGCATTGTGACATAATAAAAAAATTCTCTGTCTTGTGAATTATCTCTGATGCTCTTGTATTAGTGTGGTTAATAGGAAGTAGACTGTTTGGGGGAAGAAATGGTTTTGGTGCCTCTGGGGCTGTGAGCCTCTCTTCTTCACTTTCTCTTGCACTTAACGGCAGAGTGGACAGAATTTAGGCAAGTCTTAGTTTAGTACGGCTTGATGACATCGTCCCTTGTTCTGAAAGTCACTTTCTGGAGCCTATTTTCCTTTAGCTTCTAAGAGTACTATTAGAAATAAATTTCACTGTGTAGAAGCAAAAAAAGGTGGATTATCAGCAGTTCATCAGATGCTTATATTGAGAAGTGATACAAAGATCTCGGCATCCGGCCCTCACTGAGAGGAAGGCTGGCCCAGCGGGGAGCCATTGATCACTCACCCTGACACATCTGAGCGGGCTCTGACACCAAAACGCATTTCCTTCTTCTAGTTATTTATTCCTCCAACCTGAAAGAGAAAGGTGTGAGATCTGAAACTAGCAGCACAAGAGTGATTTTTATTGAATCTGTCATCATCATTCCTAATTCGTGTTTTTTTTTAAACCTTCACAGGGCAGCTTCTCACAGACTCAGGCTGGTAAAGGTATGTCTGAAGACACTGCAAAGCACCTGTTTCATAAGTCCTTATCCATCCTGTTCGAGAGTCATAATATTTTCCTCAGGACCTCAGCGTGTTTGTCTTTTGAGGGGTCTCCAGGGTACTGGTCAGGGTGGGTTGTGGTGTCTGGGGCTCAAAGTCCCACCAGTGGACTTCAGCTGCTGCACTGACCTTAGAGAATCAAAAGCGAAGTGAGTTTCTCTGTCCCCAAATACCTTCGTGAACTTACCAACTGCATTGCCAAATCGAGGTAAAGGTGTTTTTATTTGCTTTCTCTGATAACTGAGGAATGGGTTGAGAGGGTTTTTTTTTTTTTTAGACTTGGTCCCCAGGCTGGAATGCAGTGGCGCAATCTTTGCTTACTCCAACCTCCAAGGCTCAAGTGATTCTCCTGCCTCAGCCTCCCGAGTAGCTGGGATTACAGGAGCCCGCCACTTTGCCTAATTTTGTATTTTTTAGTAGAGACAGGGTTTCACCAGGCTGATGACATAATAAAAAAATTTTTATTGTGTCATATTGGCCAGGCTGATCTTGAACTTGTGACCTCAGGTGATCCACACGCTTCAGCCTCTCAAGGTGCTGGGATTACAGGCAAGAGCCACCTCACCTGGCTGACATTTTAATTTGCTTTCTCTGAGGGCTGGGGTATGGGTTGAGAGAGTATTATTATTATTATTATTATTATTATTATTATTATTTGAGACAGAGTCTCACCCTGTTGCCCAGCTGGAGTACAATGGTGCGATCTCGGCTCACTGCGACCTCCGCCTCCCATGTTCAAGTAATTCTCCTGTCTCAGCCTCCCAAGTAGCTGGGACTATAGGCATCTGCCACCATGCCAGGCTAATTTTTTGTATCTTTAATACACATGGGTTTTCACCATGTTGGCCAGGCTGGTCTCAAATGCCTGACCTTGTGATCCACCCACCTCGGCCTCCCAAAGTGCTGGGATTACAGGTGTGAGCCATTGCGACTGGCCGAAAGAGTATTATTAAGGTGCAAAATGATCACATCTTTTAAAAGAAGCAACCTTTTTCGTTTCTAGTGGTTATAGGTTAATGACACAGAATATCTGCTTGTAAAAGTCTGAGTGCAGTGGCTCATGCCTGTAAAATGAATGCTTTGGGAGGCTGAGACTAGGGTCTCAATGTAATGAGATCCTGTCTATACAAAAAAATTTAAAAATTAGCTGGACATGGTGATACATGCCTGCAGTTCCAGCTACTCAGGAGGCTGAAACAAGAGGATTGTTTGAACCTGGAAGTTTGAGGCTGTAATGAGCTAGGATTGTGCCACCAAACTGCAGCCTGAATGACAGAATGAGAAGACCCTGACTTAAAAAAAAAAAAAAAAGTATTTGAAACCCTGGCTTCAACCCCATGTAAGGCTTTGTGGAGTAGCATGTGGCCACACTTGCTCTCGTCAATCCCTGCTGCATGACTCTGGTTTGCTGGGACAGCCCCTGTATTCCAGGTGTGCAGAAGATGGCAGGGTTTCCACCTATCTGCCTCAGAAATGGTTGAGCAAGCTGCCTCTTTATCCTCTTCCACCCTCTGCTTAGGTAATCTCTGCTGCAGGTGGCTGGCTGTTGATCATGGGGACTTGGTCTCTCCCCCACCTGCTGGCTCCCACTTCATACTTCTTTCTTGATCAAACAATATTATTGCTCCAGAATCCTTGCAGTACCAGTATCTCCAGTGCTTTCTTCATCCTCCCTCCCTTGTGCAGACAGGAAGCTCCTCTACTGTCCCCTCGCCTCGTCCCTTCATCACTGCCTTCTCAGAGCCAACGCCTGTGGAGTGGTGGCCGGGCGAGTAGGGTTGGGGAGGTGGGGAGCTGTGTGTAGTGCTGCCTGGGGGGACCATGTTTATCCGTTTTTAGGTTTGCTTTTCCCTCTGCACCCTGCCCTTTGCATTACCCATGTGAAACAGTGAAGCTGATGTCCATGAGAATGTGCGTGCTTTTCCCCTCCCACTCAGAGCTGTCTCAATGTTCCCAGAAAGAAGAAGAGCTGTAGGTGTGAAGCGCAGCCAGGTGATCCTTGTGGTAGTTAGGATGGGTGGGGAAGGAGAGCATCTGGTATGGCAGGGCTTTGCCCCCAGGCAGACCGTGGGCGTCAAGTGTCAAGTGCTGCTGACATCATCGCCCAACAGGACCACACTTCCTTAGCCCTTCATTTCCTCCTCTGGACAGGTGATTTCTTTTAAAAAATAAATTTTCATTATTAAATTTTCATTCATTCACGTATTCATCACTGCAACAGACTAGTACAGCTATTTTCATTGATTTGCGTTCCCACCTAGTTTTAATTTCTCCTTGTAAAACGCGTTTGTTACTATGATTGTATCTCTATGTAATTTTATGTTGTGCTGTTACTTAACACTATTTTACAGACATTCTTCCATGTTCTCAGTCATAATTAACCAGTTTAAAGCTGTATCATTCTCCATTGTATTTATAAGCAATTGTCTACTTAACTGTTCCACTGCTGTAGGATATAAGATTTTTTTTTCTCCCTGCATGTTTTAAATAGTATTGTTTCAGAAAACTCTAAGCATCTAGATTTTTCTTCTTTCATGTCTTTTTTTCCTAGAGATGAATTCTTAGGAGTAGGATTTGTTGCTGTTATTTATTTATTTATTTATTTATTTTTGAGACAGTCTTGCTCTGTCACCAGGCAGCAGGCTGGAGCGCAGTGGTGCTATCTCAGCTCACTGCAACCTCCGCCTCCCGGGTTCAAGCAATTCTCCTGCCTCAGCCTCCCGTGTAGCTGGGACTACAGGCACATGTAATCCTACATGAAATACAACAATCATTGTATTTCATTTCATGTAAAATTATGTTTTCATAGTCTTTCTTTACCTACTAGAAACTTGGCAGGGGTCTCATATATTAGAGTGATCTCCCTATTATTGATTGAAATTAACTCTTTATTCATATTTAATATAAATAGCTTCCCCTTTTTAATTGCCTCTACAACTTGCTTAGAGTTCTTATTCTCAAGAATTATTTTAAAAAAGACATTCATAGACCTAAAGGTGACTATTATTGTTTCTCACTTTTCAGAATAATATTTACATATGTAAATGTTAAATAGCTTGGCCAAGGTCACATAGCAGGCAAGTGCCAGAGCCAGTGTGACGCCCCGGCTATGGGACCCTGCTCAGCCTCTGGCTTTCCATCTCTCCCACCGAGGCTTGACTTCGCCAGTTGGAAGTCAAACACCAGATTTCAAAAATACATTTTCCCCAGCTATTAAACGAGTGTGTATGCTTTGAACATACAGATACCTAGAGTATCCTAACTTTAGGGAGTTCCTGACAGTGTAAAAAACTTTCTTTTTAATTTTCATTTAATATAAAATAATAGCTATTTTTCTAGGCTCTACAGTTAAAAATAAATACTAATGAATAAGTTAAAATTACCTTTGAAATAGCCCTCCTTGTGATGTGATATGAATGGCTATAGGGAGAAGTCTTTTTTGTTTACATCTTCTAATTAAAGTGATAACAGCTCCTTTGTTACCTAGGTGCTGAGTGACGGTGGCTTTCATGTCTTGTCTGTTGACTACAGAGGTATGTGTTAAGGATGGTGTACAGAGATTTTTCAACAAGCAGAGGGCCTCTGATGACCCTTCATTTTGAAGGCAGTGACACTGTGTTTGCCTTTTCTTGCTACCAGGATTCGGGGACTCGACGGGTAAGCCCACAGAGGAGGGTCTGACTGTGGATGCTATTTGTGTCTATGAGTGGACCAAGGCAAGAAGTGGCATCACTCCCGTGTGTCTCTGGGGCCACTCCCTGGGTACAGGGTAAGTGACATCTGTAGATGTGTCCATAGGCAGGTCATTGAGGCTTTAGTGTCCTATCAAAGGCAGCAGCCAGTAGTGGAAGGAACACTGACCCAGGAGACAGGGACTCTTTGCTGATCACTTTCATACTCCAGAAGACCTTGTCATCTTAGCATGCTGTCTGTAAAACAACAGAGGGTCCCTTTAGCTCTATGGTTATCTTTTACATTGAAGTCCAAGTCTTTCTGAGGGTTTTAAAGAAAAGGATCCTTGGCCCAGTGGGGTGGCTCACACTTCTAATTCTAGCCCTTTGGGAGGCTCAGGTGGGTTTATCACTTGAGGCCAGGAGTTCAAGACCAGCCTTGCCAACATGTCAAAACCACATCTCTATTAAAAATACCAAAAATTAGCTGGGCTTTGTGGCACATGCCTGTAATCCCAGCTACTCAGGAAGCTGAGGCAAGAGAATCACTTGAGCCCAGGGAGGCAGAGGTTGCACTGAGTTGACATTGCGCCACTGCACTCCAGCCTGGGTGACAGAGAGAAACTGTCTCAAACAACAACAACAACAAAAACACCACCAAAAAAAGAAAGAACAAAAGAAAGAGAGAAAAGGATCTTTAATTTAGGGCCTGTGGAACCTTCTGAAATAGTGTGCAAATGTTGGGTCTTTATGCATTTTTCTAACCTGAGAGCCCAGAGCTTTTATCAGATGCTCATACCAGAAGTCGTGTTTTATACTGTTAAGTTATTGCTTAACATATGTACTAATATTCATTGCTTTACAGGGTTGCAACGAATGCTGCAAAAGTGTTAGAAGAAAAAGGTAATATATTATGCTTAGGTGGTATAATTTTCCATATCTTGGCTTGAGATGGGAAAGTAAAAACAGTCAAGAGACTATGAACATGCCAGACACCTAAAAGCATCCCCACTTTGGATGGTTTCCGGCAGTACAACAGGCTTTCTTTTTTATCTCCATTTAATATAAAGTAATAGATGTTTTTTAGGTTCTGCAGTTAAAAATAAATGCCTTACAAAGAGTCTTCCTTGTGATACAATATTAATTTAAATTACAGGATTAAAAATGCTGCATTAAAATGATATGCAGAACCAGCTTTCTGCAGCCCTTCTTAGTAATATTTATGTCAGTGTTTCTCAAAGTGATCTGAGAATTGTTTGTATCAGAATCTTCGATCCTAGTTGATTTGAAGAATTAGAATCTCTGTGAACAGGGTCATTTTTCAAAAATCGAAATTAGAATTTGCTCCATGTATAGAGATGCTATATAAATGCAAATGTTCATTACCCTAATGCCGTACAATTTAAAAATTCCAAAGTCAATTATCTGCTTGCGTGTGTGCCTGTGTTTTGCTCATCTTTGTACTGCAAGTTATTTTTGATTATGGGCTACACATAGTTTATGGAAAATCATAGAAATTATTTGAGACTTGAAGTGATATTATCTTCTTTCAGCTATAATTTACTCTTCTCCTGAAAGGCAAGTATGGTAGGGACAGATTACTTTACTTTAATAGAGACTGGGCTGATCTGAAGTTGGCCTTCAGTCGTTATGGTGGCTGGCGTATTCCTGGTTCCTATTACTCCTAGAGTGTAGTTCTTTGACGTCACAACCAAAAGCCTGAGAAATGTACTAGGGTCCTCTTTCTTGTGAGATCCTGAACTCCAATTTCGGTCGTTTGGATTTTGTGAGACACTGAAAGTTTTGTCTCATTTCTCATCCTCTCGGCCACCACTATTGCTTTCAACTGCATTGAGGGAAAAGGCAGCTCAAACTCTCTGGATGTCTTTCTTTTGGTATTGCTTCTGTAATTTCTCACTGACCGGTAGCCCTCATATCCATTCGAACATATATATATATATATACATACCGTGACCCACCACACCTTTTCCAGTTGTCCTCAGAGGGAGTGTTGAGCTAAACAACCTAGTCAATCTGTGACACATTCTTAGCAATGTGCTGCAGAACACTGTCTTCCTGTAGTACTTTGCTTTCTTAAGTTATCCAAGCCGCAAAGAGCTGGTTGTGTTCTTAGAAGAAGGTAGTGGTTTTCAACTATCATCACGTACACAGAAATCTCTTGGGGAAGGAGGGGAAGGTAGAAGCATGTTAAAATGAACATTCTCAGCCCCCACCCTGGAGAATCTGACTCATAAACATGAGGTGGGGTCCAGGAATTTGCATCATTAACCTTCACAACTAATTTTGATGCAGGTAGTTCAAGTACAAGGTCTTGAAGACCCCTTATCTAGGAAAGATGGTATTTGAATAGGGGGGTTACTGATTTCTTTCTTTCCGTCTTTAATTTTCAAGGATGCCCAGTTGATGCTATTGTCTTGGAAGCTCCATTTACCAATATGTCGGTTGCAAGTATCAATTATCCCTTGTTAAAGGTGAGATTCTGGTTCATCTTCACAAGGTATCAAAGTAGGCTATTTTGATACAGTGTAGACTATTTCTACACATGTATGTTTATTAACTGTCTTCCTTTTCTTAAATAGTTTTATATGTTTTGCAGTTATTCTAATCTGAGACAGTTTATTACCCAGTTACCATAAAAGGGAACCTATGGCTTTTGGATTTGATATTTTGTTTATTTTCTTCTAACAATACCTCTTTTACAATTTTGTGGTAGATAGAGTTGCCTTAAGTTTATTATTTATTTTTATTTTCTTTTTAAAAGTGAAAAACATTTTATACATCATTTTTGAGCCCTATGAATGTCAGCCATACATCTTTTGTACCTTTATCATAAGAAAGTTTCTAGAGAATTTAAGGAAGCTGCCAAATACTTTTACACAGTATCCCAGATAAAGAAGACAAACTTTCTAAGAAAATTAAGTACAAAGAATTGTGTCACAAGATGCAGTTTAAAAATATCTATTGTGTAGACTATCTTAACTTTATGATCTTGTTTTATGTCTAATGCTCAATTATTTATAGTTGTACATTCATATAAATGTTAGCAAATGAGAGGTGGGGAGGGAGAGAGAGATATATACATAGAGAGAATGAGCACCTTAGAGGGATACATGGCCTCAATTTTAAAATTATTCTAAATTGTTGTTTCATACTATAAGATATCTTGGAGTATGTTACCCTGTCAATTTCAGGAATCTGTTGTACCATAAGCCATTACAGATAGAATTCCATCATAGATGGAATTTCTGGAACTTCTATTTTCAGGAAAAAGTAGCTTACCACTTCCTAGGACAGCCAGTTCACATAATCACGTACTCCTGAAAATGGCTTTACTATCTAAGCTTCAATTAAATACAGAAATCCCCTCTATAATGTAAAATAATGAATGCTGGTAATTTCAGATATGATAAATAAGACATTTTCAATTGGTTCTAGAAACGGAATATTCATTTTAATATAATATAACCATTAATTGCAAATCTATCATATTACTCTGTCATTATGAATAAATTCATTCAATTGTAGGTATGTAACGTAAGTCAGATGCAGTCTTTTTATTTAGTTTGTTTTTTAAAAAAATGTGTTAATGTTGAAATTTAGCAAAGTAAGAAAAATGCATAATTTAATGAGCAATTATAAACTGAACACCCATGTAACTATCACCTATGTCAAGAAATTAGCATCACTCATACTCCAGAAGTCTGTATGTTACTTCCCAATCCAATAAGCCTTATTTTAGATATAATCCTTGGCCCTTAGATGTAATTCTTAGATTAATTTTATGGTAATCATATTTATGCATTTCTTCATAGTGTTACCACCTGTATATGTATCTCTAAGCAATATTGTTTTGTCTGTGAACTTTATATAAAAGCAAAATTATATGGGATATTTTTTCACCCAACGTTATATTTCTGGGATTTTATTCATGATGTGTAGAGTATCGCTGTAGGTTAGTTATTTTCATTGCTATATACTATTCCATTTTATGTACATACCACAATTTATTGATCTATTTTATGTTATTACATTTGTATTACTTTCAGTTTAGGGAAATTAATAATATTGTTGTTACAAATGTTCTTGAACCTGTATTCTGTAAACATGTACAAGTATTTCACTGGAGTATACCCTTGGAGTGGAATTGTGGAGTAATAAGGTATCCATATGGCCAGCTTTAATAATTACAGTGGAAGTTTTCCTAAATGACTTTACCACTTTACTCTCTCACCAGTTGTGTATGAGAGCTCCAGTTGCTTAAAAACCTTGCCCTCATATTGATAGATCAATATGGTTTTAATTTGCATTTCCCTGATAACCAGTGAGGTTGGGTAACTTTTAACATGTTTATTAGCCATCTGGATTTCATCTCTTTTGAGATACTTCTTGTTCATGTCTTTTGCCCATTTTTCAGGTGGATTGTATTACTTTTTTTTTTTTTTTTTTTTGAGACAGAGTCTTGCTCTATTGCCCAGGCTTGGAGTGCAGTGGTGCAATCTTGACTTACTGCAACCCCCATCTCCCAGGTTCAAGCGATTATCCTGCCTCAGCTTCCTGAGTAGCTGGGACTACAGGGGTACACCACCATGCCCAGCTAATTTTTGTATCTTTAGTAGAGACAGGGTTTAACCATGTTGGCCAGGATGGTTTCAGTCTCTTGACTTTGAGATTCACCCGCCTCAGCCTCCCAAAGCACTGGGATTACAGGCATGAGCCACCGCACCCAGCCTGTATGACTTTTTATTTGTTGATGCTGGATATGAGTCATTAGAGAATTATTTGTATTGCAAATATATTCTATGATTTTGTTTTGACTTTTCACTTTTTTTTTTTTTTTTTTAAAGACAGAGTCTTGCTCTGTCACCAGTCTGGACTGTAGTGGCACGATCTTGGCTCACTGCATCCTCCGCCACCTGGGTTCAAGTGATTCCCCTGCCTCAGCCTCCCAAGTAGCTGGGACTACAGGCATGCACCACCACACCCAACTAATTTTTTGTATTTTAGTAGAGATGGGGTTTCACCATGATGGTCAGGATGGTCTCAATTTCCTGACCTCGTGATCCACCCACCACGGTGTTCAAGACCAGTCTTAGGCAACATGGTGAAACTAGAAAAAAATTTAAAAAATTAGCCAGGTGTGGTGGTAACACCTATAGTCTCAGCTACTATGGAGGCGGAGGTGGGTGGATCGCTTGAGCCCAGGAGTTCGAGGGCTGCAGTGAGTCAGGATCAAGCCACTGCACTCACTCCAGTGTGGGCAACAGAGTGAGACCCCATCTCAAAATAAACAAACAAATAATATCTGAAATTCAGTCATGCTAAGATGAAAATGACAGATCATAACAAAGTGTACACCACGAATATTTGCATAATCGACTCATTTTGTCTTTAGCAAATATTTATCGAGTGTCTATTAAATACCAAGAACTTTTCTAGTTTCTGAGGCTACCACGGGGAATAATAATAATAATAATACGAAAGTTGCAGTCCATTTGCCTGTGAAGCTCATATTGTTGATAGAGAAACATATAGAAGATAAATATATTAAAAAAAAAAAATCCTGTAGTGAGAAGTGCTGTGAAAGCACTAAAATAATGTGATGGAGAATGACCCGGCAGTGGGGGCAAGGTTTGATAGCTGGTTATGGAAAACAGCTCTGAAGAAATAGCATCTGAGCTGAGACCTGCCTGAGATAAAGCCAGCTGATGGGAACACCTAGAAATCTCAGGCTGGGATAAAAGCAAAGACAAGGGCCTTGAGGTGGGATCAGGCCTGACATGTCCCAGAGGCAGAAGGCAGCAGAGCCAGGAGGTGGACAGGAAGGGGCTCAGTGATAGGAGATGAGGCTGGAGAGGGAGGCAGGCAGCCGCCAGGTTCCACAGGGCCTTGGAGGCCCAGGTGACATGTTTGGGTTTAGTCGTTGCCTTTGGAGGGTGTTGAACAAGAGTGCTATGATTTGATTTGCATATTAAAACAATCATTCTGGCTTTCCTGTGGGAACTGGATTACAGAAGGGTGAGGAGGAAGCAGGGAGCCACTTGGTAGAGTGGCTTGGTATAAGCAAGAGATGAAAGGTGGCATAGGCTAAGTGATAGTGGGGATGGAGAGAAGTGAATGGATTTGGGATACATTCTGGAGGTAGGGTTCAAAGTTTGTGAGAAAGGTGCAATATTGCTCAGGGTTTCCGTCCTTGACTCCTTATTTTCAGTTGAAATGGATGTTTCTAGAGCCTATACACGAACTTACATGTTGACTATGTGAGTCAAAACATTGTAAAAGTGGAGTTAGCTAACATTCTATTTCTTAGGATTTGCTATTAAGCAACAAATTTAGTATGTCTCGAATGAGCATTGCTGTATGTGGAGTCCCGAGGTCATTGTTAAAACCTAAAATGTCTTTTAAGGCATTGGCATATTAAATCATATTCAAAAGTATATAACGTTCAAATTCTCTAAGATTGATTTTCTATGTTTTGCATATTTGCATAAGAATTTTTGACTAATCAGAATATTCTGTCTGCCAACTAAACCAGCTATGTTCACAGTAGAAGCAATTTTTAGGTTTTGCATATCACCGCTTCTATATGGAGAAGTAAGAGTTAGTGGTGCCATTTGTATTTCTTTTTTTAAAGGAAGTATAAGCAAAATGTTAACAGTGATGATCTATGATGGCAGGATTGTGAGTACCTTGTTTCTTCTACGTTTCTTCCTTTTTTTTACCAAATTCCTGACATGTATTACTTTCTAAATCCTACAAGTTTTTTGTTAAGTTTATCATATTTAGAGAGTCACTACTCTCTGTTACCCTGGTTCGTAATGAAAGACTATATAACAAATGACATAGCTATGGGGCAAATAGTAACTTTTTTTTTTTAAATAGATTTACCGGAATATTCCAGGATTTTTACGTACACTTATGGATGCCCTGAGAAAAGACAAAATAGTCTTTCCTAATGATGAAAAGTAAGTGAATGATGAAAAGATGTGCATTATTACCGCATCTAAAGGATTTTAGGGGAAACCATCATGTGACTTACTGGATGCTAACATTAGACATCTGAGTATCATTCTTATTCTTAGAATATTGTTCTGTGGTTCTTAGATGGGCACTAAGATTCAGGTAAAGTATTTGTGAATTTTTAGTATTTGCTATTTCCTTCATGTCTAATACAATGACTTCACCAACTCAGTACTTTCTCTCTGAATTCATAAAGGAAGTTGTATATTTATGGCCTATCAAGACGTTTTAAAGGGCCAGGAGCAACAGCATGTACCTATAATCCAGCATTTTGGGAGGTGAGGTGAGAGGATAGCTTGAGCTCAGAAGTTTGGAACCAGCCTGGGCAACACAGGGAGACACCATCTCTCCAAAAAATTTAAAAATTAGCCCAGCATGGGGGCACTTACCTGTCATCCCAACTACATGTGGGAGAATCACTTGAGCCTGGAGGGTTGAGGTTGCAGTCAGCTGTGATTGTGCCATTGCAGTCCAGCCTGTGTGAAGGAGTGACATCCTGTTAAAAAAAAAAAAAAAAAAAAAAAGACCTTTTAAAGGTCCTCTAGGGTCTAGCTACCATCCAGCTTACTAACGTGACAGCAAATCCAATGACTAGAATTTATCAAGTTAGCCTGTCACAGTTAGGGAATTTAGGAATGCTTCTGAATAGGCAGTTGTTGTGAATACTTTTTTCTGTATCAACAGACTTAAGAATCTAACATTCTCAGAGGTGTCAGTGAATCACTGATACCCACTGATGGATGGGTATCAGAATTTTGAGGGGACAGGGAAACATTGTTTGAGAAAGTAATGGGAGTGGGAGACATGACATTCTTCGTGTCATAGCCCTTTGGAATTAACAAACTAGAGGAATGACCCGGAAGCTAATCAGACCTGTTCACTGCGTGCCCATCTTCTACATTTAAGGGGAAAAGTAAACAAATTTCTACAAAGAGGTCTCCGATTCTGTCACAGTTGTTGTTTTACTGAGGTTTTGAGTTTTGTTTTCTTTTCTAGTCTTAATAAAATATTTCAGATGTTACAAAATAAGGTGGAATAAAGAAGAATATAAGGTTCCTCTAACACTGTACAAAATCAGTGTTCCGGTGTTTTTTTCTTTTGGTATTTCCAAAAATCACACAGAAGTAAATTAAACAGTCAATTACATTGCACGAGTAAATGGGAGAGAGGGAAACTTACATGGAGAAAAAAAAAAAACCACTAAATGAACTTTTTAAATGTATGGCATTGTTATGCCTTGGAAGGAAGGAAAGAAATTTCTTGTCATTTAGACAGACCTCATGTTTTGCTAAAGCTTTAACTTAGAAGAGGAGAAATCGCAATGTCTAATTCTTTAACTGAATGATTTTCTTCTACTTGTCCCTAGTGTTAAATTCCTTTCTTCTCCCCTTCTCATCTTACATGGAGAGGACGACAGGACAGTGCCTTTGGAGTATGGAAAAAAGGTAAACTAAGAGCTCAATGCTGACTGAAACATACTTTACTTATTTCACCATTTTTTGCTTCATTCAGTCAAACTTTGATTAGAGCCTAAAGGAGGGTCTCTAACGTTACAGGAGATTCGCTACACTCCTAAATAGGCTCCACAGGTTTATACAATGAGCCTCAGTGTCTTGGCTAAAGGAGTGTTGGTGGCAGAGCCTGGCTCCTCATCTGGGTTGCGTAGCACTGCAAGTGTGGGGTATCCCAGGCTGCTGTGGGAACCTCTGTGTCTAAAATAGAAGAGGCAGACTTTTTCCTTTTAAACAAACTTCTACTAGAGTGGGTCCATAGCAGTTCCTTGTCATTTTGCAGCGAGGTTCAAGCAGGGAAGGGTGAGGTTTTATCAGTATTCTCTAGTAGCTGAGCAGCATTCAGATCTTTAGCTGCAGAGACAGACAGTTGTGGACATGGAAAGTTCTCATATCTGTTAGCTTTTAGGGAAATTGGACTAGAAAATCCGCAGCTTTGAATGGCCAGCCTTTGAATGTCTGTCTTTCTGTTCCTTGCAGCTCTATGAAATTGCACGCAAAGCATACAGGAACAAAGAGAGGGTCAAGATGATTATCTTTCCTCCTGGCTTCCAACACAACCTGCTTTGTAAAAGCCCCACACTATTAATAGCCGTAAGGTAAGAGTTGCTTTGCTAAATGTATCTTCAAGGCAGTTAGGGCTGCTCTGGCTTACTTAGGCCGCAACACAAAAATGTATAATATTTTGCTTACGCAGGTAGGGAAAGTGTGTGAGCTGATCCAGGTCCTTTTTCTACAGAGATTTCCTGAGCAAGCAGTGGTCATGAAGTCTTGGAGGAGTGGAAATCTTCAAGGAAGACTTGGTCCAAACACCACCTGTGATGTGCATTTTTTAATATAAAATTGTACTGGGCTGGTCAGATGAGCTGAAGCCATTGACTTCTCTGCAAATCACTTGCCATTTTAACAACAGAAAACATACATGTTAGGCAGTATGGAATGTTTTTGTTTAGTTTATAATCTACTTTGTAAAACATGCCGAAACCTCACAATTTGGTAAAATTTAGATCCTATCTAAAAATATGTAGTTATCAAACATCCTAGGGATATTTGTGAATAAGGTAGTTGCTATGGTCCGAATATCTGGGCCTGCCCCCCAAAGTATGTTGAAACCTAACCACCAATGTGATGGTTATAGGAGGTAGGGCTGAGCTCTCAGGAATGAGATTAGCGCCCTAATAAATTATGACCAAAAGAGCTCTTTGCCCCTCCTACCATTTGAAGATATAGTGAGAAGGCTTCATCTATGAACTACAAAGAAGCCTTCATCAGACACTGATTCCAGCCAGTGCCTTGCTCTTGGACTTCCCAGCCCCCACAACTGTGAGAAATAAATTTGTTGTTTATAAGCTACCCAGTTCATGCCATTTTGTTTTAGTGGCCCACAGGGACTAAGACTGGTCTTTGGTTTGGACTCGGCAGTGTGAGAAAGTTGCTCCCAGGTAGTTAAATTTTTTTTTGTATTTTAGTTCATTTAAATGGCATTTAAAAGTTCTAAGCAGTTTTCTAATTTTATGATTCGTTTTGGGGGTAAATCCTAGCAGTAGCAATAGCATCACTAGATTTGCTATAAAATAAGTTTTGGCACTCATGTAGCCCTTGGAAATCGATACTTTATTTTTAAGCTACATTATATATACTTTCCCTTCCCATTCCCAGAGATACTCAACTATTATAGATTTTTAGCTAAGAAAACAAAAACCATTGAATGTTATAAAAATGTTCAAGTTCAGTAAGAAGCTATGTTTCCAAGAGACATTTTAGAATTCAATTTCCATTGACTTTGTTAGATTCATTGGATAGAGAAATCTTCAGATCCGAGGGTTCCACGTTCCAGATGTCCCGGGCATATTCTTTAATTGTTCGGTCACTGGAGAATTTCCCCGAGGCAGCTATGTTTTTGAGTACCATTGTGTTCCAGGCCTTTGGATTCTGTAAACAACATATACATATACAGCCAGGATCCCAGTGCCCAGTGAGCTTTATAACAAATGTATCAGCCAAGCACATCCAAACACATTTCAGGAGGGAAAATGACAGGAATAAATTACAGTGAATTATAAATATTCTTGTTTGTTGAGAGGTAGAAGAGAATGCACATTTCTCATAGAGTGTGTTTCTCTTAGGAATGAAAGAAAGTATTTTTCACTCTAAGAGAAACCCTAGATGTACATTGCCTAGTTGGTAATTTTCGCTATGGTTAGAATGTCTTAACATGTAAGCCATATTTTCCATGCTTTCTTATGAATGAAGATACTTTCCCTTAAACTATAGGGAAGGAATTCATTGTCTGCTAAATGCCAAGTCAAAAGACTTACCCTGTGACTTACAGAGTTTGAAAAACACTACTCTAAAATGTTACCTATAATGCAGGCAAACAATTCAATGAGGGGCTTTATTAACCTTCTTAGCTTTTCTTGTTCTTTCTGCAGGTACGCACGCACACTACTGGGTTTACACTGACTCCCAAACACTCCACTGGGGCTTCAAAACAGAGTCAATTAAGGCTTTATCCTTAATTAAAATAAGTCAAAATCTCATAATTTTTATATAAAAGAACGTGATAGGAAGCAATTTGTTTTATAGCCTCAATTTTATAAAGAACTCTAAATGTGTATTGGAATGAGCAGAACGTTATTCAAAAGTGTTATCAGTGCATTATAAATGCTTACGAGAAAGACTGAAACTACCATTATTCCTTAAGGTACAGCAAAACAGTGTCTGAGATTTGTTTATTCAGACTTTGGAAACTTCCTGTAATAAGAGGAGGATAGGCCGGGCGCAGTGGCTCACACCTGTAATCCCAGCACCTTGGGAAGCCACGGCGGGCAGATCATGAGGTCAGGAAATCAAGACTGTTCTGGCTAATATGGTGAAACCCTATTAAAAATACATCTCTACTAAAAATACAAAAAATGAGCTGGGTGTGGTGGCATGCATCTATAGTCCCAGCTACTCAGGAGGCTGAGGGAGAAGAATTGCTTGAGCCCAGGAGGTGGAGGTTGCAGTGAGCTGAGATGGTACCACTGCACTCCAGCCTGGGAAAAAGAGTGAGACTCTGTCTAAAAAAAAAAAAGGAGGATAAAAGCTTCTTCTCTTCCTTTTCTTTAACTATTTAAATGGATAATTAACAGACTTCCCAGCCATATGGGTCATGTTTACTAAGTCTCAACAATACAATTATTGTTAAGAGTAAAAAGCTGCAATTTGCACTAATGAACAAGAAAGACTGAAGCAAATGCTGGGCTTCTAGATGAGCATCCTTTGGATTTGGGCCATAGTTTCAACAGAGGAGACATTCACATTTGTCCTTGCCCTTGTTCAGTATTTTTCTTTCCTGTGCTGTTTTATTGATATATCTTGAGGTGGCCATGCTCTTCCCTGTGTCTTTGTGTTTTGGGGACCAGTATATGGCTTTTCTCTCTAATGTATGGGAAGCATGTAGTGAGCCCCTGAGCTTAGCTTTAGCACTGCCCTGCTTGTTTGTAGCCATTAACTTGCACTTATTCTGGTCTATGTGCCATTGAGGGATTGGCTATTATTCTATTAGAAGATAAGGGCTGTAAAGCAGCACAGGCCTTGAATGGTCCTTTTTAAAATCCCAATGGGACATTTAGGGTGACTGTAGGAACTACCCTGTTATCTGCCTTGGGAAAGAAATAGAAAGAAATGTTAGTGAAACCCACCCTGGAGTCTTGGCAGAGAGCTAGCCTCCTCCTGTATCCATTCCTCTGGGGTATCTGAAATTCACTGAAAGTCTCTCCTATCAGAGATGATCAACCTTTTTACATATTTACAAAATATAGCTAGAAAGGTGTTTGATAAAGCATATAAATTTGCATGTGGAGGCTTATTCACATGGCTCTCCCTACCCCCTTTTTCCCCCTCAGTATAGTATTGTCTTCCTTATTCTTCTCCTTTCTTTCTTTTTTAAAAAATTCAAATATGAACCCCTTACTCTTTCTACACATTTATATTCTATTGATATAGCCCCCTCCATGAGAAGTCCAGGAGAGGTGTTATTTTGCAATTTTCAAAGAACAGGGGTCAGTCCTTATCTTAACAAACCATGGTTTAGCCTTAGAGTCATCATGTCAGGTTTTTCAAATACTGTTGGTTACCCTACCCTCTACTAGGAAAGGATCTCTCAGTGCAGGGCTAGCATCTGTACTATGATGACGCTACCATGGTGATTCTAATGTGTACCTCTGGTTAAGACCCTCAGTGTTTAAACAGGCTCCTTGCGGGAGGGGAGGGAGGGAGAGACCTCAACTTTGCTCATGGTGTGTTCTCAGTGCCAGCACAGTGCCTGGCATAAAAAGGATGCTCAATACCCCTCTGAGGCTTTATTTCCTTAGCTTCCAGGGCATGTCTGTTACAGAGTGGATGCTCAATAAATATTGAATTACTTGTGACTTATAAAAAATTTGGATATTAAAAAATTTACAAGTGGCCGGGTATGGTGGCTCACGCCTGTAATCCCAGCACTTTGGGAAGCAGAGGCGGGATGATCACCTGAAGTCAGGAGTTCGAGACCAGCCTGGGCAACATGGTGAAACCCCATCTCTACTAAAAATACAAAAATTAGCTGGGTGTGGTGGCACGTGCCTGTGATTCCAGCTACTTGGGCGGCTGAGACTGGAGAATCACTTGAACCCAGGAGGTGGAGGTTGCAATGAGCCGAGATGGCACCACTGTGTTCCAGCCTGGGTGACACAGCAAGATCTGCCTCAAAAAAACAAAACAGTTACAACTGCTGCTTAAATGTCAAATCTCAGCCTTGGCCTGAACTTGGGAAAAGTCAAGGTTTTTTTTTTTTTTTTTTTTTTTTTTTTTTCTTGATTGCTTAATGGGGACCTGCTATTTAGATTTAATTTTAAAAACTCACATTTTAATTAATCATAGCAAACTGGCTTTCTTTATCAATCTTGGCCATTTACTCACCATGTACAGCTGGCTGACTTTCTCTTGACACTTGACATAGGCTTCATAGTCTGCGAAGACTTTAAACCTTTTATTTTGTGATTGGAAGGGAAAAAAACAGTCAAAAGCTTCATTAACAGATACATGCTAAGATTCCATGTAAAATAATCTTTTGATTAATATTAGGCATGGCTGGTTTACTAAACTCATGTTTCTGTTTGTAAGAATTTTAACCAGGCCTCAACCTTCTTATGGTTCTTCTCACATGAGAGAATGTCATCACTTGGATATATATGGAAGTTGGGAATATCAGTGGAAGGAGAAAAAGAGAACCAGATTTGTGTGTGTTATTCTTAAACCTTACCGGCATCATTGGTGGAGAATATCTAACTTTTTTCCCAACCCTAGATTGCCTGAGCAGATCACACATCCACGCTAGTCTCTATGAGTGGGTTTAAGTTGGTTTAAGATTTTCTTGTTGGTTTTAGAGTTGGTTGGTTGAAGATTTTCTGGTCCCCCTTTCATGATCCAAATAGTACCATCTTCCTGTGGAAACTCACCTGTCATGATAAAATAGCATGTTGACAATGTCTTTGAAGAGGTCAGGCTGCTTGGGAGAAAAAAAGCCATTGTCAATTTGATCGATGACCAGCTTCAGCTCTGGAAGTGCCTCATAGTATTCTTTTGCCTTGTACCTGTCGGGTAGGGGTAGGTGGGTGATAAGAAAAAAGCTCTGTTATTGTGTGTGATTAACTGCATTCACTGTGAAAAACTGCATTCAGAAATACTAGCATTCATAGAAGTCATTACAGATTTTACCATGAGTATATATAACTTTTAACTAGATCTAGAAGTTTTTCTCCCTGTAAATTTGATTCCTTACAACCAAAGACACTAAGAACAATACATAATGAAAACTGCAAGGCTTTTTGAACTGACTGCACCATGGACTACGCCATAGTCAAGCCGTGGTGACCCCTGTGACCCACACGTACACCTCCAGATGGCCTCCCGGAGCCAGAAAGTCTAAGGTAACAGAAAAAAAACGCAAAAGGAGAAGAATAGCTAGCTCCTGCAGTGCCTAATTAACTGACCTTGTGACATTCTAACATTGTTCCTGCCTCAACTGTTAAGTCAACTTGTGACATTAGACCCTGTGACAGGCCCCCCCCATCTTGGCTTGCAAAAAACCACCCTAAACTGTAACTTTCCATTACCCACCCCCAACCTATAAAACCACCTCCTATCCCACCATCTTCTGCTGACTCTCTTTTCCAACTCAGCCCACTTTAACCCGAGTGAATAAACAGCCTGATTGCTCACACAAAGCCTTTTTACGTGGTCTCTTCATTCAGAGCATGCTTAACAAAAACTCTAGTCAAAGAGCAAGAGTCAAATGTGGTAGAACACAGCAAGGTCCATTTCAAAGC